GATGGCTGGTCCACAAGAGGACAACAGCCCTAATACTGCTGCCAGCTAATGGAATTACTCTTTGGCTCAAGTGGTAGAGGACAGTTTTGTAGCAAAGTTTATTACATCAGTGGCGCAGCGAGCCAAGTAACGCGTTGGTCCTCGTTTGGTATCCAACACGGAGTGTAGAAAAACTGCCTTTTACTAAAAACAATCACTGTTTATAGAGACAAAAATCCGGGCAAAGCCATTCCTCTAAGGACATTTAATTAGCACACCCCAAACACACTGACAGTCAGGTTTCTGTCCCCTAGTGCTTCTGGTTTAAGAATCCCATGCACCTGTGTTTGGGATCGAGCAGACGGGAGGGTGGCTAGAAATGGAGGTGAGCCAGAGAAAGGGGAATGCTTGGAGCAAGGCAGACAGGTATGAAAAAGCGGCGGGTGGTTTTCCAAACGGCCGATCACACTGCAATGAGCTCAGCTCCGCCTGCATCCCCGCCCCACTGATCGGCACATGTCACTTCGCAGAGACGGATTTAACGTGTGGGGCTTCTCGCCTCCTGCTCTTGGGGGGAGGAGAACTTTTTCCCGCTTGCCGTGTTTCGGTTAGCTGGACCTCGGAGGGCTAGCACCCGCCAGCTTCTTCCCTCCCGGCTGGTGGGAAACGCAGCTGGGGAAACCGAAATAGGCGAAGGATCAGAAACCTGGCCAGGGATGTTTAGCTTGAACAGCTGAGCATGAAAGCGCGTCCCGGGGATGGAGAGCTTGGGGTGGGTTTGGGGAAAGGATTCTGATATGTTTCTCTGGTATGAATCCAGATTGTCTCAGGCTTACTCTGGGTCTGAAGCAGCTCCCGAGATCAGAGCCTGGCCAGGGTGCGGCTGGGCTGTTTCCTGGCCACACTGGCCCAGGCAGGTGTCAGATTCCATCTCCAAAGCCCCTGATGAGTACAGTGTCGGGAAGGATCCAAAGGAGAAGGAAAGAGCAGCAGCTGGGAGCTGTCGAGCTCAGCACCATCCACATGGCACTTCCATTCAGCAACAAGCTGCCGGCTTGGGGACTAGTGGGAGACTAGCAGACAATACGTATTAATATTCTTTGTAGCCCAATAATGCCTCACCTGAGGCCGGGGCCCCACCGTGCTAGGCGCTGGACGTACATTCAGCACGTGAGAGTCCCTGGCCTGAACAGCTTGCAGCAAATACACCAGAGAGGAGGAAACATGAGGCAAAGTAACTTGTTCCAGGCCACCCAGCAGGACAGTGGCAGAGCTGGGACTGGAACTCATGTCTCCTGAGTCTCGGTCCTACCCCCTGGCCCGCCCTGCCGCTGTGGTATGGTTCCCTCTCCCCATTCCTACTGACAGGGGTAGTTTTCTCAAGAACATTCCCACAATTCCAGCAGCCCTTGTCACTGAGAAAGCCGCTGCCCCCCCGCCCAGTCAAGCCATTTACTGTTTACCCATGTCGCTTCCACGTATATGAATTGATTCCCACAGGAATACGGGAAGGAGAGGGTTAATGCACTGGGCAGTGGTACTGCATAACTCATGCTGGGACACCAGCTGCCCCGGCCCCGCCAAAGGCCATCTGGGCGTCTGTGTTGATCTTGGCGTGTCTCCTGGCTTCTTCCTTCTCAAGACCCGCACTGGAAAGAGACAGCGCAGCTGGGAAAGGGGCTGCAGACAGCTACAGGCACCCACAGGCTGCGGAGAGAGGGAATTCAGAAAGGCCTTTGTAAAGGTCGGGTGGGGGACACACACAAAGAAACAGGTAAGTGGGGAATCCTTCCCCAGTTCAGCTATATGCAACTCCCCAGCCGCAGGGGCACCGCACATGGGCAGAGCAGGTGAGAGAAGCGAGAGGCGAGTGTGACCTGCGTGTGAAGATGTTCTGTATCCATCACAAATCCCACTCCAGGCTGCAGCATCTGCTAGAGATTTGGACTTGGTTTGTGGGCACTGAGAGGCTTCGAGAACAGGAACATCTTCACGTAAACAACCACATGCGAAAAGAGGGGGAGGATGGAAAGGTGGAATAGGACATGGGGTGGGGGGGAAGACAAGTCTGGGGGACCTACTCCATACTGGGGGATGCGGTTAGCACTGCAGGGACTACGAGCTCTGTGTAAATGGCCCAAAAGCCAGGAAAAAGCTGGGAAAAGGAGATAAACTCGCCTTCTTTGGGCATGAGCCAAATTCTAATCAATGGAGGCCAGGAGGAAACGTCTCTTGGGGGCAAGTTAACCCATAGCTGCAGGGTTTCAGTTTCTTGCACTTTCCTCTGAAGTAGCAGGTGCTGACCATGCTTGGAGATGGGATAGTGGGCTAGATAGACCAAGGAGCCTGGTCCATTCTGGCAGCTTCTATGTGCCTGTGGAAATGCTCTGTTCTGACACCATCACTGAATGGGGGACAAGCCAAAAGGGGGATTTGCAGGAAGCTGGGAAGCTGCTGGCAAGAGTAAATACCCACGGGTGAAAATCATGGTGAAAAATGGGTCCCATGCAGCCCTGCTCCTGGGGGAGATTCCCCAGGCTCCAGCAGCCAGTGGAACACCTGGCCACGAGCCACAGAACTCGCTGCTGGCGGATGCACGCTGGGTATGGGGGCAGAAGGGCAGATGTGGAAACAGAGACAGAAAGGGAAAGGGCAAGGGAGCCCAGAACGAGCTGGGGTGGTCTTCGATGGACTGAGCCCCAGGAAAGTGCTTCACGGCACTTAATACAAAGCGGAGGCCGAGTGCTGTAGATCCCATCACACAAAGAACCTGCAGCTCTCCGCAGAGGCGTCACTTGGCTTCGTAGTGTGGACGGGTGCAGAGCTAAACCAATCTAATGCTGCTAAATTCAACTTAACTCGTAGTGTAGACCAGGGCTAAAAGTCAAGACGGGCTGTCTCTCTAACGGAGCTCCCAGGCTCCACCATAAGAGATGGGCCAGAGGCAGGAATCCCAGCGGAGGGGGTCTGATCTGTTACACAGGAGCTCAGACTGGATGAGCAGCAAAGTCCCTCCTGGCCACAACATCTATGAAAGTCTTCTCTCCTAGCTGAGCTTCGCACCCCCGCCACCCCAGTGCCTGTGTCTGCCCCTGCCCCACATGCAACGCTGCTACTGCCCATGCATGCAGCAGCCCCCTCCAGGCAAAGAGCGAATCAGGGTCTGTCATGGAGCTGGCATTTCCGGTGGCTCTGCCAGCTTGGTGGGGACGGGGAGTAGAGCAAGACTGAAGGGTCTTTGGGGCGGGGACTGTCTATTGCTCTGTGTTTGTACAACACCTTGCACAGTGGGGCCCTGATTTCGGTCGGTCCCAGGCACTACCGTCATATAAATAAATAATACTCTTAAGGGGGAAGTGATGGCTGTGTAAGCGGTAATGACGTAGGGAGCAAAGCATCCACTCAAAAGATGATTAACAGAAGATCCTAGGGATCCGGGCTTAACATTGTGGATGGGCAGGGTGGGGGGTGGGTTAGACTGTGGCCGAAGAGCCAGTTTGTGCAGGGTGGACTGGACTGGCAGCGTGGGGGTCTGGTTTATACTGAATGAAGAGGCTGAAACCTATGCAGGGGTTCTCCACATTAAAGGGGACCCCGCAGATGGATTTGGTCCACGTTACCTTAATCCACCCCCGGCACCCCTTTAGTCCATGTTATTTGCCAGGCACCTTGGTCTCCCCAGGCCGGTGGGTATGCCCATGTCCCCTATGTTCCTATGAAGTCTCCCTGGTTATGGCATGCACCGTCCCCCCTCAAAAGGCCACTCAGCCCGTTCTTACCGCTGGGCCCCATTCTGCCATGTCAGTACAATTCTGCATCATGGAGAATCACGTAACCGTGATCTCCAAATGCAACTGCTCTGACAGCGCAGCGGCTTGGCTAGATTTTGAGCCCAGGCCCAGAGATTAGCAGAGGGCAAAGCTCTCCCATGGCTCCTGAGCCCAAGGACCAGATAGAACAGATGCCAAAGAGCAGGGAGGAGGCTGGTGGTCTGAGGGGGGGCATTTGCCTTATTTTGGTAACAAAACAAAGTTAGAAACCATCGCCCCTGAGGAGCCTGGTCTGGTCCCTGCTCCTGCCCGACTCCATCCCTGCTCACAAGATGGACTGAACTGAAATGCACAAAGCTAGTGAGTCCTTCCTGGCCCCCACCACCCAGCCCCCCAGCAGGTACTGCCCACTCTGCCTTCCGGAGGGCCTCCCTGGTTTTGATTCATTCTGTGAAGATTGCCCCCTATAAAGCCGGTCCTACTTTGAGTGATGTCATGGTGGCAGTGATGTCATCAGCACTGGCTGATGCTGTCACGTCGCCTCCTGGGAACAGGGCTACGCTCTTGGGCGCGACATTAATGCTGTATCGGGCTGGCCACTTAGGTCAGAAGGCAGCTGGGGAGTCAAACTAGCTGTGAGCCTGCCAACAAAAATGCCTCTTCGCGGGGAGACACCCAGACTGGGTCAGACCCGTTTCCAGGTATGTTCTGTCAGCTCCTGGTAGGCGTGAATCACATGAGAAACTAGACATGAGCTGCCTTAGTCCAGCCGTTGGAACCGTGGCCGTTTATGACCCAAGTCAGCAAAGCATCTAAGCACATGCTTAACTTTAAGCACATGCTTAAGTCTCATTGACGTCAATTGGGACTTAAGTGCATGCTTAAATGCTTTGCTGAATTGGGCCCCATCCTTTGGCCTGCATGTGTTTATGCAGAGCGGGGCATGGTGAGAGACCCACTGGCACATCCATGGTGTAGCAGATGCTTTAAAATGCTGAATTACTGACACGTTGCACTTCCATCTGCAGGTCTTCACGGACCAACAACAAACCTTAAACGAGCAATAACTGGGAGCATTACACAAGGAGTGAATTTTCACCCCATTCGAGCAGCTGCAAAGGTCTCCAGATCCTACAGGCTGCCAGGACAGTGGTACCATTTCTGCCATTCGTCACATCCCCAAATCAAGCCCTCCACCCCAGGCTCCCTTTAAAAAAGGCCGAGCACCTTGTGCATAAAAGTGCCCCTTACCGAGATACTGCCCTTTGCCTTCCCGGAATGGGGGTCCCAGGGGCCCTTTCACCATGGGCTGCATGTATTTCACTTGAGCATATCCTCCGCCTCCAGCACCTCCTCCGGACACCGAGCGGATGCCAGCCACAAGCAGGAGCAATGAGACAGCTTCGGCGAGCATCCTGGCTTCACCGCGAGTCTTTCTGTGGAGAAAAGGGAGCCCGGTTAGGGAGACAAGGAAGCCATGGGTTTGCCACCAAGTCCCTTACAGACCACAAACAAAAGGGGCTCAAGCTGTTGTGGCAAGTACTCCGTTTGGAGTAGGTAGGTCTGAAGGTTCCCAGTTTGCCAGGATAAAAACCCTTCCCGCACTCAGGGTCCATGGGGATGGGCGTGCGCTAAGAGCCTGACCCGAAGACACTGCTCACCTCTACAAACTCGGCGCTGGACCTATGCTGTGCGCCGTGACTTACATCAGTGCAGGACGGGGGGGTTCTGCTCTGCTGGCAACGTACACCCACTTTGCACTGGTGCAGATAAGGGCACAAGGGCACAAGGGCAGGGCAGTGAAGGCTCAGAGGCCATGATCTTGGTATTGGCAGCGTCCCAGGTGTCCCGGATCGCCTGCATGGCGTCACTTCAGCTTCCCGACACAAGTTAAGGCAACTTTATCTACGTATCCGTGGGAAGAGCTTAAGGCTGAGCATGTCCTTAAAATGACGGTTGTCACGTGACAGCACATTACAGCACCCTCTCCCCTCCACTGCATCTCCCTCCTGCCAGTCAGAACCGGACTGAGAGCCAAAGTCGTTTCACACACGGGTCCTCAAACTGCTCTTAGAGCGTCACAGCCAAAGGGACCTGGGCCAGTTTGCAGCCAGGGTCCCAGAGCAGAGACGCATTGTGTCAGATCCTACAGTACCAACAGCTAACTACACATTTGATGGTGAAGGAGCCATTACCATCTGTGGGTTAAGTTACAAAACAGTTGACTCCATCTAGCACTAGATTGGGATGTTCTGGAAAATGCCTGTTAAAAATGCAGTAATACAGATTTAACTGGAAAAGCTAACGAGTACAGAGAGGAAGGCTGTTCTTGTGGGGAGCACACTGGACTGGGTCTCAGATGATCTAGATTAAATTCCCAGGTCTGCCACAGAGCCCCTGTGTGACCTTGAATAAATCCTTCAATTATTCTGGGCCTCCGTTCTGCAGCCTGTCAAATGCGTATACTAATTTTAAGCCCTTTGTGACTTTTGCTCAGGGAATGTGACCACTTGAACATTAATCTGGATTAAAGTAAAGGGTGGATTTAAAATGGACTAACTATTCCTAGTTACCTCCATGGGTGAATGGTCTTCTTCCGGAATAAAAGTGCCTTATTCTTAATTAGTGTAACCCACTTCCATAATGGAACAAGAGCATCCACACATGGAGTTAATCGGTAATAGTTACTGTGGTTGCAGAATAACTCCTCATTGTAGGAGTGCCACAAGTACAAGGTGCCACAAGTACTCCTTTTCTTTTTCCTCATTGTAGATAAACCCTGAAATGCTCACCGCCTTGGACAATGGGGCCTTGAGCTCGGCTGGGCCATCTGGCTGCTATGGTAATGTAACTAATAAATACTAATAAGGTACCTAATATTTAGTTTCAAAAGTTACCCAAGTGAATGTTCATCCCAGGTTAAATTATACCCATGCTATGAACTTCCATGAAGGAGGGTTTTTTTAAAATTAAAAAAAAATCCCTCTGAGCTGAGAGTTGTTGTCACATCTCTCTGCTGAACAGGATTTCCTCTAACAAAAAACGTGTGTACTCAGGATTTGGCTCTCGAAAAGATTTCAGGTTCCAAGTCCGGGCTTCACTCTGTGATTGAAACCTTAGAGGCACAGAGCTCTGGTTGCTCTCAGACTGGGCAGTGGGTTCACAAACGCCTGTAGCTTTTGGCGGCCAGCGGCCTGAAAAATTAAATGTCAGAAACAAATTCCCATTCCAAGGTCTGCCAGCACTAGTAGCTTTCCGCTGTGGTGCTTTTTAAACAACAGGAGTTTGTTTGGTCAAGTACTTATGAGAACGTTGGATTGTAAAAGCACCGAGGGTTACGATGCTCTGGAACACCAGACTCCAACTTGAGTGCCTGTTTATATAAAATAAATACCCTCCATGAATATATCTTTCCTTTAGCAACACTTTCCATGCCAGCTCCAAGCAGAGAGCTGCAAACAGACTGATTTGCACGAACGAACATTTATTTTCAGAAGCTTAAATAACACACAACGCCAAAGAGCTGGGTATTTTTGATCCTCGTAATAACTGAACCGTGGTTGCTATTAATAAGAATTAAGTGCTTGGCCTTTCTGTTCCTAAGAAAAAACGAGCAGAACAGCTCCTCAGCTGGATTTGATCGGCATTTCCTGAATCATTTCCACTGAAACGGCAGCAGAAAGCTACGGCATGAAAAAACAAAACCAAATAAAACAAAATTGAAAGAAAGAAAACAGAGAAAAGAAACGGACAAAACTCCAGGACAGGGCAGTTTCTGATGCTGCAAACTCTAGGCAAAGCCATCAAAGGTCTTTAATGAAGACCCCGAACCTTGCCCCAAGGAATGTTTGTGAAGTCTCGTTTTATTAGCTCGACCTGGAGAACAGTGCTCCTGCGATTCCACATGATTGGCGGCTAGGTGGTGAGCTGAGCCCGGCGTGCCGATGGGCTGAGGTAAAGGGTTTGCTCTGGCTGCCATCTTCAGGCTTCCATGTTTCCACACAGACTTCTCCTGTCCCGAGGGGAGGAAATGGCTCCTCGCAAAACGAGGGCGAGACCCGAGTGAGACTTTTTGGGGCTGTGAAGCTCACAAGTGCAGCAGGTGGTTCAACTTACTGGGGACCACGAGGGAGAGGATTTGCTCTTCCTTACTCCACAGACAATGAGCAAGGTGAAAATTCGAGGCCTGGCTCATTCTGCATGGGGCTAATGCCAAAGTCGGATGGGCTGCTTTGTTAGCAGCTAGCAGGGTCTAGTGCTTAATGGACAAACTTTGCAGGCAGGAGACCTGGGTTTTATTTCTGATCCTGCTGCTAACTCACTGTGTGACTTGGGGTAAGTCACTTCCCTTCTCTGTGCCTCTGTTTCCCCTGGGCCAGTGAGGCTGACCTACTTCACTGGGGGGCTATGAGGTTTAATTAACTAACACGCCTGGGGACCTTCCTATGAAAGAGCCTAGCGATGCAGACAGTATTGTTCCCAGGCAGCAGAAAGAGCTAAGCTCAGAGGCCATGCTGCTAATTGGACATGAAAAGCATCACTGGACCCAAGTCCCCATGGGAATCTGTGCTCAAACTTTGCAATTCAGGTTTTTTTAAGAATAGCCCAGGACTATGGCCCCCAGAACTGTGGGTAGATCTGAGCAGCTCAGAACCTGGCAGGCACACCCTGGCTGAGGTGTCTCCCTGGAGTCAGGTCATGAAAATAACAAGCATCAGTGTACTTAGACCTGGGCAGTTTAACTGAGTCTCTTCCTTCAGGCCCGATCAGTGTCCTGTATGTCCTGGGGTTGGGGCATTTCTGGCACTCCAGGAGGGGGTGGAGGGAGGGATTTGTCACTCCAGAATAGCGCCGGGGTGGAGCATGCTGAGCAAAGGGCATTGTCTCTTGCTCCCACCTCACCCAGACTGGCCTCTTCTGGGTTGGTAGGCACAGCAACGGTGCTAACTGGTCCCTATTGCTTGCCCTTATGAGTGCACCCAGCCAAGCTATGGATCCTTCCTTCCCAGCACCTTCTCCCCCATCTAGGGCGCCTCTGCTCAGGGTGCTGCCTGAATCATTTGAGGCCTGACCCTGTGAGAACACCAAATGCTTCCGGCCAATGAGGGGGAGTGGAGCGCGCTCAGCACGTGTCCTTGGTTAAAAGAGAAACGGAGAGGTAGACAGAACACACACATCAGCTGAGCACTGGGACTCGCTGCTCATACCCACAAGCCGATTTGGGAAGAGGAGTTTGCAAAGTTCCTCCCAGGAAAGCAAATGAAAAATGGAGGCCGTGTCTACACTACAAAATGAAGTCGACCTGACTTACATCTGCATACAGCTGCTGCAGTAATTACATTGCTTGTGCATGGCGTCCCCACCAGGAGCGCTCGCACAGATTGTGCTGTCAGTGTGGGGCATTGTGGGATGGCTTCTGAAAGGCAGCAACAGTCGATGTAAGGAACACCGTGTCTAAACTGACACTGCGTCGACCTAACTACATCGACATTGACTCTACCTACTCGACATTGACTCTTGTGGAGGTGGAGTTATTAAGTCAGCGTAGCGGGCAAGTTATGTTGGCAGGAGCAAAATTTTAATGTAGACATGTCCATGGTTAGGTCAATGTAAGCTGCCCTGCATTGACCTAACTCTGTAGTGTAGACCAGGCCAAAGATAAGCCATGAATGTCAGAGACTAGAGCTGGGAAATCAGACTTCCGTCTGCAGGCTGGTAACAAACATCCCACACACTTAACAAAAGGTTTCCAGAGAACATAAGCTAGGCATCTCCACCCTCAACCATCCAAGGACAGAGCCATGAAAGGGAAACCTAGCCGGGATCTAAATGTCCCTTCTGAGTGGAGAACTAGGGAGAAAGACAGATCTCCAGGGTTATTTCCAGTCTCCTGAGCTCTTATGGAAGTGCCTAAGTGCAAATAAGAGGCAACATGAACAAGGTGACCTATGTCATGAGACTGTAATCTAGAAAACTATTAAACAACACTGGAGAGAGATTTCCTGGAAAAGCACCAAGGCTGGGCTCAAAAGGAGAAAATTATTTTGTGGCCTCTAACCCTGAGGTTAGAAATTTCAAAGGAGAGCTCAGAAGCTGGCCAATCCTCAAAGAGCTGCTCGTGTCCCATGGGAAACATTCGTTTAGGAAAACCTCTGCTTGCAGGTCATAGATTTTCAGCATCTTTCACTCCCTCCTTTTTTATTACCAATGCTACTGGTGTGAAAATAGGATCTTTCTCACAGAGTTGTTCAATGAAGGGAAGAAGTGAGGAACAGTGGCCAGGGTAAAAGGTCTGGGAATCTCTTTGTGAGACTGTAGGTGAGTCATTTCCTCGTTCTGTGCCTCAGTTTCCCCATCTGTAAAACGAGGGAAACGATTGAAGCTGGACAAACATTTTTGCCAAAATTTTGGATTTCATAAGATTTTCAGCCGCTCT